TTCACTCAGAATAAGGTTCATCCATGTCATGAGGTGTTTTGAAGATTCATCATTATTCTTCACCATTGCAAAGTATTCCACTGTGTGTATGTATCAAACTTGTTTGTCTATTTTCCCACTGATGGGCACTTAAGCTGTCTCCATCCTTTTGCTATTGCAGATAATGTCGCTATGAACATCAGTGTGCATGTACCTACTTGTGTCATGGCTCCTACTGCATAAATCTGTTGAGGTGATCTCTAAATTCAGCAATTTGTCTTTCAAAATTCTCTCATAAGATGTCCAGCACCATTTCTAACAAGATCATGTTTTCCAACTATTGATCCTTCTTTGTTTCCAACTTATGCATTCCAATCACTGTTATTATCAATATATCTTGATTACTTTTGATTAATTTCAGACTGAAGATGTTGGCAGAATATTTAAATTTTATCATCACAAGCTTTAGTGATTGGTATGAAAAACTATTCATAAAAAGCTGACATCTATTCAAATAAAGAAATAAATTTTTTTAGTATCTCAGTGTGGCGCTATAAGATAAGCACTGGACTACAGGTCAGTTTGAACCACAAGGAAAACCCTCAGTAAGATGGATTGACATAGTGAAAGAAATAATGGGTTCAAACTTAAGAACAAAACAGAGAAGAGCACAGGACCTGGCAGTGTTTCATTCTTTTGAGCACAGGGTCACTATGGGTTGAAACTGACTCAGCACCACCTAACAACATAATGTAGGCTGAAGATGATACTATATGTATCAGTACCATAAATTGATGCATTTTTTTTCCGTTGTCTTTGCTACAAAAAATGGAGAAATCCAGGTTTTAACAAGTAATTATATCATCTGAATTTTTTAATTCCTCAAACCCACAAAACATTTTCTAAGATAAGACTGAGTAAAATTATAATTTTACCCTTGTGTTTATTACTTTAAACCACATTTGCTTATAAAGGGCAGAGTCAAGAATATAAAGGTGAGAACTGTCAAGGCAGGTTAGACTGTCAGTGAGTTACTGTCCCAAACCATTCAATAAACTAAACGTTCATAACCTCAATGTTTTATGTTTACATGGGTAGGCTGTTTTTCATGAAGTAAGATCATATACTAACTTCTTTTAAAATTGAAATAAGCATGAAAGAAAACGGAAATTTTATTTTTTAAATTCCCACCTAGTAATCCATCTCTCTTTCCCTTCATTAGTTGGTTTACAATAAGGTAATATTATACACAGTCAAATCCTAATTATTATACTATACTAATGAAATGAGAAACATTTTAAAAAAGAAAATATTATCAAATAGTAGATGCCACTTATATTTTAAGTATAAGGTATTTAAACACATTTATAAAATTATGTTTATGAGAAGAATATACCATGCTCCTGGATAAGAAGACTTAACATTTTGAAAATGTCAATACTACCCAAAGCAATGTACACATATAACACAATTCCAATCCAGATTCCAACAACATTCTTTAGAGAGATGGAAAAACAATTACAAAATTTATTTGGAAATGAAAGAGACCCAGGATAAGCAAAGCACTGCTTAAGAAAAAAACAAAGTTGGAGGCTTCTCACTCCCTGATTTCAAAATTTACTACATGGCTACCATGGTTAAAACAGCTTGGTACTGGTACAATGAAAGATACATGGATCAATGGAACAGAATTGAGAATCCAGAAATTAACCCATCCACATACAGTCAACTACTGATCTTTGACAAAGGGCCAAAGTACACTGAATGGGGAAGACACAGTCTCTTCAACAAACGGTGCTGGCAGAACTGGAAATCAATATGCAAAAGACGGAAACAAGACCCTTACCTCACGCCATATACAAAGACCAACTCAGCATGGACTAAAGACCTAAATGTGAATCCCAGAATTATAAAGGTCATCAATGAAACAATAGAGACAAAATTAAGGGCTCTAATCCTGGGAACACACAGACTACGAAACATTGCAAAAATTACACAAACAAAAGAAGACAAAATAGATGACTGGGACATTCTAAAAATCAGAAACTTATGTGCATCAAAAGATTTCATCAAAAGAGTAAATGGGCAGACCAGCCTAGAACAGCTAGAGCAACAGAAGATACATCTTCAAAGAAAGATCATCAGGAAAAACCCAAATCAAAAATGGCAGTATGACTGGCTACTACAAGAATAAGCAAGTGGTTCTCCAGGACGCCATCAAGTAAAGCAATCATGTTCCTTCAGGACAAACCCTTTAAGACTGAAACTCAAGGGAAACACATGAGCAGGCATGTAAGCTTGCTGGTGTCTATGTTGGTCTACTGCTGAGTGGAAGAGGGGGAAAGGCAGCAATGAAGAAATGGGCTGAGTTCAACTATGTTCCACAGACTCCCGTGAACCTGGAGATGAGACAGAGAAAAAGAAGGGCTGGTTGGCCCAAAATATGGTGAGACCTGAGGACACCTGAGCCTATCTATGGACAAGGACACAGCCAGAGGTCTAGAGATGAAAGTGAAGCATCCAGCTGATATGGATAGGAATTGGCAACTTAGACATTAGCTACCTAAAATGAGGGGGTGACTAGCTTACAAGGTTTCAAGAGGGAGCTTAGTTTAATAGTGTGTGGGGAAAGAAAGAGTCTCCACTGAATAGTTTTCATCGTGTCTACATGGGTCTGGTTAAAAGAGATGGGAATAAGATTCTTATAATTCAATAATGAGTAATTTTTATCATGACTAATTGCAACTCTCACAATTGTAAAGGTAGAAGTTTTATAACAAAAACAGGGGACTGGTTAATCTTACAGTCCAGAAACAAAGGACCCTAGGATCATCAAGGGAGAAGAGCACAAGTAGAATGCGAGACCTTATCCAGAGACGCAGCAACACCAGAGATGGAGGCAGAGATGGAGACATGGAGAGAGGGAGCAGCTGAGGACTCTACATTCATGGGAGATGAGGGACTAAGAGATGGCGACTAGGAGGCAGACTTGCAGAATGTGCCCTTTGGTGGTGTAAATTATTATATATGCCTATGTGCTTTAAAAAAATAGCTAAAGCGAATAGAGAGAAACAATGGTAACTGGTGGTACATGGAGAGGATTATAATCATTGCAATGAAAGAGGATGTAATATTTTTGAATGTAAAACTGATGATCTGCCCTGTAAATTCTTACTCAATCCACAATAAAAACCTTAAATAAAAACAAATTATGTTTATGCTGTCTCATAAGACTACATTTATATTAGGAAGCTTAAAATACCAGAAACAATCATGACATCCATTACCATTAGCACACACTTCTAAGGCATTATGAAATAAAATTAGAGATAAAACCAAAAAAACACATCCACTACTATCAAGTCAATTATGATTTGATTTCAGAAAAGGCAGGGCTTGATTTGATGTTGGCTAGGGCAATGAGGTTCACCATCAGCAATACCACAAAATACCAGGCAAAGCAGATTCAGGGCAGAGCTCCAAAATTCAGAACCACATAGATAGGAATATTTAAAAAGCTTGAAGGTTTATAGCTAGTGGAACTTGTAACAGAAGCAAAAAATCATTTACTTTTGAATCTGCCGGGCTCAGCAGTCCGGAGCCGCCTACTTGGGTGAGACCAAATGGTAAGACCAAGCAGGGGAGTACACACACCACGGAAAAACG